CGACCCCCCCCCCCCCCCCCTGCCCTCCACAGAGGGGGGCAGCCATAAGGTGCAGCAATAAATGCCCAGGGGCTGTGCCTTCCAAATTAGGAAAGATAAGCAGGAAAATTGTGCTGGTGGATCACAAGAAAGCAGAGAGCCTGAAAAAGGAAAGCATGAGGACAGAAAGGATATACCAGAAGAAAAGCTGACATGATGAAGGCATTATGATGCAAGCAAGAAAAGAAGTGCATTAATATTGGGACATGAGGGAAATGAGTAAGTGAGAAGAGGCAGTGCAGCTACCATATTAGGAAGGACTCAACGCAGTCCCAGGATGCAGTGAGTTGGCCAATCCCTTTCCTCACCATGCCACCCCTCACTGAGCCATGTAGTCAGAATCTCTTCATGACTGCTCTTGCTGAGATGGAAAGTGTGTTCCCTCCTCTTTCATAGCTGGGCTGTACAGGGGGGCTGATGTCCATCTAGTGAACCCAGGCCAGACACCTGCATTCATGACAAATTTCGGCAGCCTGTTCTATGAGACTGCCATGGTGCATCCCTCCCCCATCACATGCAGCATACATGACTGACCTCAGGAGACAGTGGATGGTCAAGTCCCAAGGCGAGATCTCTGCCGCCTGGGTGAACCCTGACAGGACCAGTGCCCACACGTGCCCTCCCTCTCCTCTCCCACAAGCTGACAGGTGACCAGCAGTTCCCCTCTATTTCTGGGTCTCAAGTCCCACTCCCCCCTTTTTCACCTATGCAACAGGCAACCTGGGTCAGCTTCAGGGCAAAACACAGGTTGTACATCCCCTCCCCTCTCATCCACTCATATATCCATCTGCCTGTTGTCTTCACTGCCCTTTTCTCATGCCAGGAATGTTCAGTCACTGATTGAGAATTAGACTATAAGTTTGTAGAAGCTGGCCAAGGGTCATTGTAGGTGGTGGGGTGGATATGTCATTTGCAGGCTTGGAACATCAGTCAGACCATACCTTACTCATACATACCATTCAACAGACTTCAGCTACATTATTCAGTGCCTCAGAGGTGACCAACTCCACATGCATTTGACAGGCATGCTGTGAGGGCAATATGATCCAACAATCATTGATGATCAAATAACTGAACAGGCAACAAGGAAAACAAAGAGTAGTGAGTTGTATGTCAATCAATACCTCGACCTTTGTTTACAAATGGAGTCAACAAGGGTGTTGTAGAGTGAGTGGTGATTGGCAGCTGACAAGCACAGTTGTGTGTGTGTCATGTGCATGTTTGGAACAATCAAAGCTTTGTGTTTAGAACCTAATGACCTTGGACTGTGGGGTTCCTAGGAGATTAGCTCCAAAGAGCTACAGGGGCTATACCTAGGGCTCTATATATGTCTAGGTATGGAAGTAAAAGGAAGCAAAGTCTGTGGCTGACTATACAGCTTGCTTAGGGCAGGCACCTTATGTCTCTTGTCTGGTTGGTCCTGCACAATCTATGACCAACATCTCATGTTCTGGGATCTGTCCTTCCTGGAGTCAGGTGATTGTAGTATCAGCTGTCATTTGGGGTGTCATGCCATGTGACTGTGCTCTGATCATTGTCAATTGTAGCTGTCCACAATTGATTTTAGGGACATCCCCTGACACTAACAAACTGATGTGACCTTGCCCATGTGATCCTGCAACAACTCCCTGATCTGCTCCCCCTTGTCTGCACTCCAGTCATTCACCGTCCTGTCAGATGTGCTGGATGTGGAATACAGCCCTTTGTATGACCATGCCACCACATTCACCTTCCCCACATGATGCTGCACTGGCTTGCCAACTGGCAGCCCAGTTTCACTGTCCCAGATCTGGATGGTCATATCCTCAGAGCAAGAGGTGATGTGCATGCCGCCTGGCAACCAAGCAACCAAGTTGATCACACCAGAGTGACCCTACAATGGACTTCCCAATGTTGGCCTGATTAGGGCATCCCAGATTTGGATTGTCCAGTTGCTGGAGCCAAAATGATGCGTGTGCCATTGATTGTGACCAAGCAGACCTGTCTGGTATGTCCTAGCTGCAAGGAAACTGTGACCATCATTTGAACATACCAGATGCAGATCATCATGTCATCTGACCCAGAGAAGATGTAACTCCCATCCAGTGACCAGGCGAGTGAAATGATTTTGCCTGCATGATCCTGCAATGGCTCCCCAACAAGCTCCCCCCTCTCCACATTGTGGATTGTGATTGAGTTGTTGTCAATACTGCATGTGATATGCTTCAAATTGTCAAATTGGGTGACCAAGTGACCAAGAGCATGGCACCTGTCTTTAGCTCCACCATCTTGACAATGGCCCCAGTTTCCGCAATCCAAACACAGGTGGCCTGGTTGCTTGAGTGGGAAAAGGTGTGTTGAACAACCCCACCTCCAGTGGGGTGTGTCAGGCTGGTATTCCCACAGTTATTTTTGGGCCCTAGAGACTGTTATGTGGCACTACAGACCCTCACTATGCAGACAATGCACCCCAGCAATGAGTCTCGATCCCCTCCAGATATTTGGCATAACAACTATGAGGGTTCCCATGCGACAGGACCATACAGATATTTGGCATGACAACTACGGGTTTCCCCTGCAACAGGATTGACCCACACAGATATTCAGCATGCCAATGTCTGCCTTGGAGAGGTATCTGGAGACTAGATTAGTATTGAGCACAGCCTAGAGTAGCTAGTATAAGTAGTTTCCAGAAACTCCTGTATCTAGCTTATTCTGCCCTTTTTCTGTTAGCATTATACGGATCCAATTATCCCCATACTGGATAGGCAGCTTCAACTTGACTTAGTGTATTTGACTTGACTGGATGTATTTGACTAGATGGAGACTGACCTCTGAATTATTACTGACTGACTTTCAATAGCTCAGCTACAGGCTGACTCCCGCATTCCTACTGACTTTCCCCCTCTCTTCCCTCTTTCCCTAGCAAGTTCTCACATACCACCCATCAGACTGATATTTTGGACACCTTTTGGGTTGGATCATGTTTGGAGCCCAATGTGAGGCAGCTTTTAATGATTAAGAGCTGCTGAGGTGAGAACTCCTCCTTCTCTGACTTTTGATACAGGCCTCCCAAATTCTGGTATCTACTTTTGCTATTGACCAACAGAATGAGCTCAGGGATGAATGGCAAGCCTGATGTACTGTGCTCAGAGAAACATCCACAATTTTGGACAACACAGAAGTATCATCAACTTCTTCTGATAGGAATACCTCCGATATAGTCAATGTAGTCTGACGGCTCCTCATGGCAAGCAAGCATGCTATGCCTACAGGCAAAGAGTCTCCCTTGGCCCCCTGCTTTTCTCCTAGACCTCTTGGCATCTCCCATTACTTTTTGGCTCTGGAAAAACTCTTCAGCCTGTGTGGACTGGCTGTTACTGATGGTGCAGACAAGATCAACTGGGCCTGCTTTTACAGGGACAATGATACCTATGAATTATGGGCACAGATTCACAATGGAATGGAGGACATGAAAAAAAACTTGTATCCAGATTTCTGTTAGGGCAACACAGGCTGACTAAGTCTGCTCACCTAAGAGTGCCAAGAGTCTAAGCAGGCAACAAGGAAGTGGAGTAGACCTGATGACTAAGACCTATCTACAGTATAGGTACCTGTGGATGATCCTAAGAGACCAAGTCTGAAGAGACAGTCCCAGGCAGAGTAGGCCTAATATTTATACCTCTGTGGTGGAACCTGCTAGAACATCTTGCTTACTCAGCCTAGTCAGGTGATCAGGTCATATGACCAAGGATGAGGTCATATGAGGTCATGCACAGCCATGCACAGCAGGTCACCTGACCATCCAATCCTTCCAGCAGGTTCCAGCACATGCCAAGGTATACCAGCTACTTCCATGTCATAAAGGCTTAGTCATGTCTCTTGACCAAGCAATGAGCTGGTGCCCTGACATCACCCCCCCTTCTAGACATGCTGTCCCAGCA